CTTCGTCACTAGCCTCTGCAATTTCTGGGCGAACAACAACTATATCAGTTTTATTCTGGTCATTATTAACATTATCATCATCTGTTTCTTCATCAAAAATCTTTGAAGGGCTTCTTCTAATGTAAGATACCTCATTTTAGGCATTTTTAAACAAACAGAACATGAACCAGAACATCGAAAGGAATGAGTGAACAAGGAGATTGACTACCCGTTTTCTGCTGACGTTGCGTCAACGCAACACCTGTTTGCCATCCCTTCCCAACACAAATATAAACATCTGACTGATGTAATGTTCTGATAAACGGTGACCTTGACTAAAAAATAGATCACTCATAAAGACGGCAATTCTTTCGTTAAATACTTTCAGCAAAAATACCCGCTCGAAAATTTTGCTTAAATTATGCTTAAAGTTTGAGATTAATTATTATAAACAAAATGATTGTTGAAGGCAAATATTTTTTACAGAAATAATCTTCATAATATTCCCTACACAAAATCATCTGCTGGTATAAAATATCTTAGGTAATTATATTTATATACGCATTTATTTTGACCGTTGCGTCAACGCAACACCAGCGGCTAATGGGTTAAGATAGTAATTTAGCTTTACGACGTAATAAAAAAGTGTAAAATATATCAGAATATTACAACTAAATTCTTATCATCTTAAGCTTTATATTTCTGATATAAAGAAAAAATGGCGAACTTCACTGGACGAAGAATACGGTTCTGTTGGCTCCTTAAACAAGGACTGGAATAGATTATTAAATTATGATTCAATGTGCTAGAAAATGTTTATAATAGAAAACGTGTGTTCGGAAAAGATCTTTCGAAAGGAAGCTTGCAGGTTATACGATAATGTAAGCCCCTCTAAATCTTCGTGATATAACTTACGACGCGATACGAAATGCCGTATTATTCTATAAAAACAAAGCATATTTTGTATTAAATCCCATTATTCCTCAAGAGATAGAAAATATATTACAATGAGGTGAGAAGCATTTTCAAAGATAGCGTTACAGTGTTGATGACACTCACAGTGATATGAGGTTAAAAAAATGATTTGTTTGTAATCTTTGAAGAAGTAAATATTTTATGTTTTATCTTACACAATTTTGCTACACATTAATTGATTATAAACGCGAATAAAATGTAAAAGTCTTGTATGATACTTTGTACGTGATATTTTGAGTTATTATTAACTTTTTGCGCCCCGCTTAAATTTGTGTCTCAGTTTTTCTATAGCTTCTTAATATACGAAATGTTTCTCTTTTGCGTGACTGTTTGATTGCGTTTATTTCAGTCATATTCCTTATTAGTAGACATGTTGATTTAATATAGAGGAAGCCAGAAAAACGCTATAAAGCTAAAGCTTTTTAGACTGCAGGCTGTTTAATCCCAAATGTAATGTATGTTAACAACTCGGCCATTAAAGTGTGTATGTGCATGATTATGGCAAAGCCTCGAGGGCTATCTGCCTAAGAGGAGAGATGCCTTCGTGGAGGACTTTCTAAGGGAAACTGAATATATACAAGTTACACATGGGGAAAACCACGAAAACGCCCATTCAGCCAGACCGTTCGCAGGATTGGAACCTCGGACCGAACTACCAGTGTTCAGCAACTTTACCGCTCGGCCGCTGGTGGGCCGGCCATTAAAGGGCCCGGTAACATGTTATAACTCCAAAAATAGGTTTGCGGTTCGGGGAAAGGGGGAAGCAAATAAAGTTTTAGTTAAATTTCGCCTTACTATCCATTTATTGTAAATATTGCTAGAAGCATGCATATTTTTCCCCAAAATAAAAAGATTCGGTTTATTCTAATAGAATAATCATTCCAAATGTTAAAAAATATCTTAATAATGCTAATAATGCTGCTGCACGTTTTCTGTTATTCAATTGCGTTTTCATTTTAAAGGGACTCATACATCTTAAAACCCATAAGATCTTCGAATATGTGACTGTTGCAAGAATTGGGATAACTTATTTATTTTAAAAGAAATTTCTTCCAACTTTTTACAGCTGACTATATAATATAGCTGCTTTCTGAAATAGTAATCAGAAAGTTTCTGTTGCATCAAATATTTTTATAATTTATTCCGCTTAGTGACAAAACTTTTCGTCAAGTTTACACCTCGCGCGAACAGTTTAAAACATTCTGTTGCAGAATTTAATTCCATATTTAATTTATAGCTTTTATAACATTTGGAAACTACTGTGAACATAAAATTCTAAGAATTTCATGTTAAATTTTTATTTTATTTGTAGTTAAGTTTATAAAATGTATTTTATTAAAAAAATCTGTAATGTTTTCGCGCATAAATTTTTTTAATACTAAAATATTCATCAAATTTTTGGTTCAGTTAGAAAATAGTGCCCATATAAAGAATTCCATCCAATTTCAAGTATGTACCATTAGCCATTTTAAAAATATCATGCGCGCAAGGTGGAAACATGACGAAAACTTTTGTCACAAAGCGGATTAAATTACAAAACTATTTGTGGCAACACACACTTTCTGGTTACTAGTTTCTAAAGCAGCTATATTATGTAGTCAGCTGTAAAATGATATAAGTAATTGCTTTTAAAATAAATAAAATATCACAATTCTTGTAACAGTCACATATTCGAAGATCATAAGGGGTTTAAGGTGTATGAGACCCCTTAATACAAATGCAAGATTGTTTCGTTTATGGTATTTTACCTAATCACAACGCAATCAATATTTAAAATATTTTTATATCCTGAAAACGGAATGCAGAATATTATTTAATACATTATTCCGTAATCAGAAGCGTCACGCGTTTGAAAGTTAACGTTCATTTCAGTGGCCACATTCTATCTTGCGTTGCTTACCAACGCATTAATTTACCCAGATAAAAAGAACTTTGCTGTATATTCTAACGTAAATTTTTAAAATCAAAAGTCTTACATGTATAGCTTTATCCCGTTTTTGGTAGCTTAAACCAGTATCCAAACTCCTAACAGACTTCGAGCGAATTATTGTTCGCCTGAAGATAATTTCAAAGATTTGAAAATATTTCAAAGTAGCGTTTCTACTAAATCAAAACCTTGGACATAAAACAAGCGCCTCGTACTTTTGACAAAATTAGCCAACCACTTGTGGCTTGATAACTTAAAAGTAACAGTCAAGTTGAAATTAAAACTAAATCTAGTAGCCGAACCTCATACAATTTATTTAAGGCGAAGCTGGCTCAAATTTCTCACCGGTGTAAGAATTTGAATGTCGGTGACTATTATATTGGGTTGGAGTTTCCCTCCAACCCAATATAATCGTATTTTAAAGAAAATATTTGAATACGTATTCTGTCGTATTTTAAAGAAAATATTTGAATTCATTTATAAAACTATGTGTTTAATATTAATCAATTATATATGCTCCGTTATTTGTTACAACCTGTTGCTATCTTCCAGGTAACCTGTAAATTCCTGTTTTGCAGAAGTTCTCATCCATGGAGTTAAAATAGTCAGCAACTGCCTTAGAAACACTTTCAAAAGACTTGAATTTTTTTCCCGTTAGATAATTTTGCAGAGATCTGAACAGGTAATAATCAGAGGGTGCAATGTCAGGTGAATACGGGGGGGTGACTAAGGATTTCCCATCCTAACGCATTCAGTTTTTGTAGTGTCACCACTTGCAGTATGCGGTCGAGCATTATCGTGATGGAACGCTACTTATTCCTTTTCTGGACGCTAATGCTGGCCTTTTTTCTTTGATAGCTGCATTCAATTTATCCACCTGATTGCAGTACAGATCCGCGTTGATGATTTTCCCTGTTTCAGCAACTCGTAATACACTGGACCTTTCCTGTCCCACCACAAACAAAGCAGTACTTTTCTTTGATGGATACTTGGTTTTGGAACTGTTGATGATGATGTTCCTGGTTTGCAGTAAGATTTTTTTCTTTTAATATTCTCGTAAAGAATCCACTTTTCATCTCCAGTAACCAGTCTGTCCAAAAACGGCTCCACATTGTGTCTCATCAGATGTGATGAACATATTCTTACACGATCAGACAAATTCTTTTCCGTTAATTCATGTGGAACCCAAACACTTTGCTTTAACACAAACCCAAGAGATTTAATGTGATCTCCAACAGTTGTATGGTGAATGCCAAACTCTTCTGCAATTTCTCGACTTGTTAAATGTGGATTATTTTCCAACATGCATCGCAAAACATCATTATCGATCTTGGATGGTCGTCCAGATCGAACACTTTCTTTGAGGCTCAGGTCCACGGAACGAAATTTGCTAAACCATCTTTGACAAGTACGAACATTTACAATATCTTTTCCAAATACCGCACATAAATTTTTACATGCAACAGATGCGTTGCTTCCTTTTTGGAATTCATATAAAATGCAGTGTCGTAAATGCACTTTATCTACCGACATGTTTTTCCCTTTAAATATTAAATATAATATTTAAATAAAGACAAAGAATGTAGTCTTATCTGAGCTAGCAGAAACATAGTAACGTTGCCTCGAGAGGCAGGCCGTTCGAAATACCATTAAAAAAAGTAAAGCACCTTCAAATCATATCATGGCAATAACAGCGCAGGCGTGCTTTTTTCAACCTTTAAAATTCGTAAATGCATCTTCGCATAAGGATTTGCGAATGCCAGAAGAAATGAGGAATAATTTTATATTTCACTTTTTTGAATTAACTAAACAATTTTTGCTGAATGAATAGGTAATTTTGAATGGATGAAGGTTTTGAACAGCTTTTTGTTTTCGAACGCGATGTTTCGTATTACGATGTTTTAGAATTGCGATGTTTCTCCTTGCTTTCGTTTCTCCCACAATGATTTGCATGACTACATTTAAGTTTTCTATTGTTTGCTCCGCGACGTGTTTGTTTGCAATGTTTTCACCTGTAACCCTTCAAATAATCAATACTATTCTTAAACTGTTATGTTGATTTTCATGCAATAACTTCAAAAATATTGGAAAGTACTAATTTTCCACTTTTGTATTTCAGGTTTTGCAGAGAAAGTCAAGTTTCTAAACTGAGAACTTCTTCTCCTGAATGTTAGTAAAAAATGCCGGAAATTGATTATTTTATTCAAGCAAAATATCCCTGCATTGAATGATTGATGTGAACATACACATATAAGAAAATTTGATTTAAAACCAATCAAATCAAAATTAATAAAGCATTGCTCATAGTTTTTCATTAAAGCAATGAAAAATTTAACGGGGGTTGAAAATATTGCTCATAAAATGTGCTACACTTGAAAATCCTTCAAAATATAATTTTTATTCAAATGTGTCCTTTAAACCTACAACCTAGTTTATTCCAACTGAATAAAGTAATAATATGTGTCTTCAAATAATGTTATTGGCATAAGTGAAGAACTTTTTGTCTGACATAAACAATACAAGAAAATAAACTGTTACATATCTGAATCTATTAAGTCGAATTGAACTGTATTTGGTTTTTATCTATGAATTTATGCTTATTTTTGCATATTTTGGAATACCCAGAAAGCAAATTAAAATGAGAACGTTTTCTGAAATTACTACTTAAACTGCTTATAAACGAAACAATTCGATATACTAAACTGTTTAAGAATAAGCAAATATCTTCTAATCAAGAACTAAATACATATTCATACTCATTTATTTCCATGCATATAAGTGCATTTCAAGTATTCGAGGAAGATTATTAATTAAGAATTCCAAAATGTTTCCCGCTGATTATTATGCATGCTATGTGAGTCAAACTAAAAGTCATACAAAATACCTATCTATGTAATGCTACCTACTGAATTTCAGCTACAGTCTTTACGCTTATTATCTGTGTGGAAAAATAGATAATATAAAATTAAAATTAATGGTATTCTTTTAAAAAAGAAAGAAAGAAGAATTCCTTTTCTACAAATTAAACATTTGTGAAATGCATAATTTCTTAATAGTGTAACTAATTAATCGTTTTATAGTGAACTGCCTTTCGGAATTACGTAACGGAACATTTTTAAAAGAATTTAATATTCTACTGATAAGAAAAATGAAATCATTTACCAACTAAGCATTCGAGTTAACTAGTTCGTGAGGAAGAATAATAAGCTGGTCAATCTCTCTCTCTCTCTCTCGCTTATATCTAAATGTTTAGGGATTCTATGTGCAAAACTAAGTTTATGAAAGTCTAATTCGAAGTACTTTACATGATGGGAGAAATGTATCTTCAAATGTATATCAACGCTTCTATGAATGATGGCTTTCAGCCTAATGTGAGCACCGGAAATTATTCGCACAATACGTTATTTGGTATTCAAGAAGAAATTGATTATCCCTATTTTGGGGATTACTTGGCACAATTTCAAAGAGGGTATGGCTCCGTCCATGGTTATCTCAGCTTCGCAGTTTGCTTATTTGGTATCACTGCTAATGTCCTAAATATAATAGTGCTCACTAGAAAAAATATGGTATCACCAACTAATGCCATCCTAACAGGACTTGCTGTAGCGGATATGTTGGTTATGTTCTCGTATTTGCCATTTACCTTTCATAACTACATTCGAAGTGATCTCGACGAGAAAGATAAGTTTTCATACAGCTGGACTGTCTTTACGCTGTTTCATGCTCACTTCACGGTAGTAAATCACACTATATCGACTTGGCTAACAGTCACTGTTGCCATTTGGCGATTCATTGCTGTAAGCTTTCCTGCAAATACAGCAGTATGGTGCAGTATGGCACGCGCCAAATGCGCTATTGTGGCGACATACATAATGTGTGCTTTGTTCTGCCTTCCAGTATATCTAACATTCACAGTGTCTAAATTTAGAGGAGAAGATGGTCAGATCATGTACAGAGTAGATTTCAGTCAGATAGCCCAGAGACACAACCGCCTATTGGAGAAGATGAATTTCTGGATTTTCAGCGTTATAACGAAACTTGTCCCTTGCGTTGCATTAACAGGACTAAGTTTGGGATTAATAAAGGTACTTTATGAGACAAACAAACGTCGCCAAAGACTCAAAAACCGAACGGAGGTGGACAGAGTTCACGACAGAACCACACGCATGCTTCTGGCCGTCCTGCTGCTATTTTTGCTCACTGAATTCCCTTCAGGACTCTTAGCGCTGTTGAGTGGAATCCTAGGGACTGACTTCTTTAATAACGTTTACCTTAATTTTGGCGAAACTATGGATGCTTTAGCGTTAGTGAATAGTGCAATAAACTTTATAATATATTGCTCCATGAGTCAACAATTTAGGATTACCTTCGCTTACCTTTTCTTACCCAGCTGCTTCCAGCGGGCTACTACTACAACTGGTAGTGCTGCTATTGTTTAAATAGCCGATGAACTGTTAAAATAGATCAGTCCTAACTTGCATTACCTTTATGTATTCACAATCATTGTATTCAAAATCAGTGAACAAACTATATACTATTGCATACGAAAAGAAATGAGATTCATCGGATAGATTGCTTGCTTGATTCAAATGATACAGCTGAAGATTTTCACTGAAGACAGGAACTGAGTTTACAATTGAACCAATAAAAATGAGGAATTGTGAACATATTTATAAACAATAAGTTTTAAAGTTAATACTGCACTTTCCTATGAATTTCTGAGTCCGAAAGACTTTCCTTGTCTTTACCAGAACTCTGCATTTTAACGGTTCACTTCCTTGATATTAATAAATAGTTGTATCTAGTCAAAACGCTGTTATGAAACACAGCTTAAATAAAGCAAATTATCTCATCCTGCCATATTTCTGAGAAATCTCATCATTTTAAATATAATTTATTATAGAAAACAGATTGAGGAATACTATCAACTTCCCTCTGAAATGAGTGAATGACTGCAAATGATTTATTTTGTTAACCATTATGCGTTGATGGCAGGAGCGTAGATAGTATTCGCAAAGTTTTAAAGCTTTAGTTAGTTAGATTCTTTTTCGGGGCTCCTTATCGTTATTGCTTTAAGATAAAGGCAATCAGGCAAATTTTGTTTTCATTAACTCAGCAAATGTGGCTGGATAGTGATAGACTGCTCTTTTTTGAAAAAATATGATCAGTATGTACCGTAAACGCTGTACTCTAAGTGAAAGATTTACTAAAGGACATCATGAAAAATGGTGGCGCTATAAGAATGTTCCACAAGATGTAGTGATCTGCCTTTTTTCTGACTTAAGTTTTCAGGATAAAATGACAGCATCCGTATGTGAAAAAACTTCACACGAGCACAGTACCCAAATGGTTTACAGAAAACTTTACGTAATCATTAGTTGTTATTCCCGAAGCATTTAACCTAGATATTCAACTATCTTACATAAGCATCTGTTTGAAAATGTTTTGAAATGGTGCGGTTTTTCTCAAACGGTGTATTAAATATGTATTGAGTGTAAACTATGTTGTCTATCTTCTTAGTATATCAGTGTAAAATGGGAAAATGTGCATGAGTTCTTAAATGAGAAAGTCATCAATAGAGGCAAACTGTTTTCTTTAACGCTTTTTAGCTTCTAAATATGAATTGAAAAAATCAACATTTTTGTATTTAAGATATTAATATGTGATCTGTGGTTTGTTATTTTGTTACATATGAGATGTCATAACTCATTAAGTTATCATATAATATAGAATTTCATAAGTGATGTTTTACATTTATTTGAAACTGTAATGTGAGTACGATTGAATAAATATGTCTGTAAATGTTATATGTAACATTGTTATAGGTGCTTGAGTCTCATTAAATAATGATGAAAATTATATTCTTGTTCATTAGAATTTTTTTTCACATTTTCTAGCACTAAACATCATTAGAGAAAGGATATTTTCTCATTTGCAACCGTCACTTAATTTCTCAATACTCACTCAATATCTCATATATTTTCTCTTTTTTGTACAATTTTTATGCACAGAATACTATTTTTTCAAAACAACGTGAATACAAATCCGAAAAATCAAGAAAAACAAGAAACAAGAAAAAACCAACAAGAAAAAATATGTTCATTCTTTCTTATTCACTGATCTGTTTATAATCCCACACTTGAGCTCTGTTTATGTATTCCTTATTTAGTTCCATATATAGCATTGTTCTAATATAGGTATTTTGACACAAAATCGGATTTTTTCTGAAATAACATACCAATTTTTTTTTTCCGTCTTTCAACTGTACGACTCACATTACGCTAAACTACCTGATTTATTTTTTAAAATTTGTATTTTTAAATAATTTTTATAATTTTCCAAAAATTTTTAAATTATAATCTATGAAATTTTTACCATGATCTTAAAGTAGACAGACGCATTTCTAGGCATACCTGAAAAACATTACAGTTTTTCATTCAAAATTTCCGAAGATATATGTGGATTTATATATATATTGACGCGTTTTGAAATTTGGCATATTTGTTGAAAACGATAGACCATCAAATGTGGTTTAGACACTTTGCTAAAATTATTTGAATGTAAGAACGATGGGACTTTTTCCCCCTCATGCACAATGTCAAAAGGTAGGAACGAAGTGCCTTTTTTGATGCTCCCGCATAATGGAAGGGAAAGTAAAATTGGTTGCCATATGTTAAGAAGTTCGCCAAGTGAATTATTCTTGGCGCAAACTGAAAAAAATTCCGCCAAGATAAATTTTTGCATTTCTCCGTACATTTCGCACCAAATTTTATAAAATTTAATATCTAGGCATACTTTGAGCCGTAAAATCGAAATATGGAAAACAATTGGTATGGTATTTCAGAAAAAGTCCGATTTTGTGTCGAAATACCTATGTTAGAACAATGCTATATATAAATCTAATACATATCCTAAGTCGCGCTTTCGAGACATGATAAACGCAATTTGAATTTTGTCAATCGGCCTAGTAGAATGGGAGATATAGAACTGTCCCATTTTTTTTTTGTTGCATCGTTGCTGTCTTAGTAATATAGCTTTGCGAGTTGTACATTACTTTTCGAAGTTGATGACATTGCCGTTACAGGGCAGATAATACATCCATGATTATGAAAATATTTTACTTATATATAAGTAAGTTAACAAAGCAGAACTAGTCCTTAAATATACCTTAACATTATAAATAAAATAATATTTAGAGTAAATTACACTATAAATATATCAGATTTCAGAAACCAGTTGCGGAAACGTTTCTAAATTAAACAAAAAATATATGCTTGTATGAGTCATTACTTACGAGATTTTTTACTCTTTACCATTTCCTTTTAGTATATTTCATATAAATTGCATTTAGAAGTTGATTCCGAGATATTCAACTGATTGCTTGAATTACAACCAAGATAATGCATAGCAACATTTGGTAAACTGTTGCAATTTTAGTAATATGTTTCGAAATTTCAATCTTTTTCTAAACTTCTCTGTTAAATCATAGAATTTTATTGAAAATGCCATATTATTCAATGTAATCCTACAGATAATTCATTTAAGTTTATTAAAAAAAATTAATTAACGTAATGTTTCTTTAATATTTATATAAATGACGACAATATAAGTGAATATAAGTTACACTTGATAGTACTCTTCGTTTTGCTTGCCGAGCATAGAATTTTCTAGCATATATAGTTCACAACATTTTAAGATTAATTGTGTGTAAAATCCCAAGTTGAAGGAAACAACGTCTTTACTCCTTGGGCTTACATTATATAATTAATGTGGATCTCTACAACGTTTAGTACGTTCGTATAATTCGTATAATTGGTAAAGTCACAGTCTTCATTGGTGTCGAAAATGTATAACATTTATAAGTTGTCAAGGGTTTAAATTACTTTCATGTAATACAGGCATAAATTCCAGTTATTTCCTGAGAAAATGACTTCCAATATTTCACTATGCAGCTAGGAGGAACTCAATTTTTATGGTACTGTTCGAAATAACACTCATACAAAATTTAAATTAAGAATTATAGTAGATTTTTGCATCAAATTCTTATTTCAGATTCTGGAATTAACAGCAAGTATAGCTTACTAACGGAACATGCCTTTTATAAGGATGATGCCCAGTTCTGATCCAGGAGAATTTCCCATACTTAAAGAAATATATAAAATTTCGATAAAATATTTTCCATTGATTTCATTCAGTTAAATTTCAACTATTCATTTGTATGGGGTTTAAGATTCATTCTTATGATAGAAAAACTTTCAATACGAATTATAACTAAATGCTTATGAAATTTCTGCAAAATGTGCGATTTTTTTTTCTGAAAGGATCCATTTAAACTCATCTCAGCTTCTAGCTTAGAAAGGATTTTGCGAATCTCTATTTTCCTAAATTTCAGGTACCGTTTTCGCATTGTGGTTTTCAGTTAAATCTTTTTTTTCAATATTTTTTAATATCTCTTACATGAATAATAGACTAAGCTGCATTTATACACTTCACTAGAAATAAGTCATAGCCATTGTTGATTTATCATGGCTTTCGTTTCGTTGCCCAAAGAATATCAATCCTGATTTAAGTATTTTCTTTAACGGTTGCTTTTATTCTAGTCTGGTGAAATTTACTGAAATACCTCTTGCTCCCCCTGTGTGTATGTGTTTCTAACAAATAAGTAGAAGATAAATGCATTTACTTCCATCAAGGGCACAACTGGTATTTCCTGGCTTCGAGAAACCAAAAGGTCTCCACAGTGTCAACCAAATTGATTCCTTTCCACGTAGATTTGGGATGGCTCCCATAATCACACCAGAGACATCCTTTCAATAAGTAAAACAGTATTCATTACAGAGGTGTAAGTGTAGAATCTTCCAACTCTCAAATTCAGCAATCCGCCCTTTTTTCTGTGTTTATTAGGCACAGGAGGATTTCTTTCGAGATTCAGTTGCCTGAGACAGACTCATGTAGGCCTATTGAGGGAGATAATGTGTAGGTCTAATGACTGAAAATAATTATCGTGATTCTGAAGGTACCGGAAATTTTGGTGTTTTTATTTAACATCCCCACAGTTATCAAACTGTTAGGCTACTTTTAAGGCAGTCTGATAAAATAAAAAATATGTTTTCATTTCCGATTTTATTGGTTTTTAATTTACTTTCCCATGATCATAAAATGCTTTTTCTATGCATTGATGACTCTATAATCCTAACAGACAATTTTCCAAACGCTTATCTAGATTCAACAGCGAAATCAACCTGTTTGTTCGGAGCATTTTTCCATATTAGCCAATTGTTGTCTGATAGCTTAGCTGGAGTAGTAGTCTCTGTATATGTTCATTTTTGAAACTGGGTTTCATGATATAAGCTACGTTACGTGTAACAAGTAATACCGTAGTGAATGGACTTACTAATATGTTTCCATTTCCGCTCTTTTCATCAGATATTCTAAGAGATAAATATTAATATTAAATCGGGCTGGAGGAAATTCTAGAACTAGTATCCCGAATACATTACGGGTATGATGCTATTTTACGTTTCTTTCTACTGCCTCCCCTTACATCTGAAGAAGATGAATTTTGCTTAATGTAATAAATGGCAGCTTATGTACGTCCTATCAGTGTCCATATACTAGAAAGAGGTCATTATAAGTAATTTTGTACAGAAGGTATGTATTTGTAAATGAACAAAATGACGAAATGTTTTCCATTCCATTTCATCGTAAACCATGGTCACTAGATGCATTACCATACTATATTAACTGAGCTGCCAGATAATCTTACATTATGTAGTTCTTATCTTTTATCAGCAAATTAATTGTGGTGTTGCTGGCCGTGATCGTATAAAGTGACGATACTAAGAATATCAAGTACAAATTAATTTTGCGTAACTTAACTAAATTTGGTGTTAGTACATTGCATAATCATTACTAAATAGATTAACAAACTACCCACTGATGCTGCCTGCCGAATATTTCTTTTTCCATCTCATATTTATTTAATACACATACTTCGGGATTAAATAAGACACATTTCACACACATATACATACTAAAATATCATACTTAGAACTCGCAATGCGATAACTCAAATGAATGTCCGTGAGTGCCGACGCGGGACTATTCGCGCAATCCTGTTCCATCGAATAATTTTGCGGTTGAAACGTGGTCAATTTTCTTCGTATTATCGCCGCTGTCTGGTTACACACTTATAAGTTCTTCTTTTTTCCTTTTACATTCATCTGATTTTTACACACGTCGCACGTGTGAACATTGCTGGTCAAGCACATCTTGAAGTCGAACATTTACTTATATTCGGCTGCGCGTTTATTTTATGTTATTCACAAATCAAACATCTACTTTAATACTTTAAGTACTGGATTTCTTCATTCTTTCTTTCTCGGCAAAATTAGACAGGAAACAAATGGCGACTTCTGAGTGTGTGTGGCCCGAGGCCACACACATCGCTAAGCTCGCCGTCAGGCAGCAAGAGGGGAAAAACGAAAAAGAGAGAGACAAACCAGTCCTTCCAGTTTTTATACCTTTCGACGCACGTGCTCACGCGTGATAACGATACAAGAATCGATGTAGTCACACTGTTCTCACATTAATATAATTAAATTTTAGAATTTCAGGGAACATTAACTTGCATCCTATAACTTTCGCAAATCAGGGTAAAATATTGATAGAGGCTTCGTATGCTACGAAGAAATCAGTTGGCATCACATAAAATAACAATACAGACACTGTAACTGAGATAGTGCAACAAATTCATAGTATTTTGTTTGTTTATTTTTTTCTCACGGATAGCTTGACGAGAAAAAAAATCTATCTGCGTTACATATCTTAAGAAGAGTTTCCGTATCTCAGTC